GTAGCAAAAGGTTATGCGAGAACATTTTCGCGTCAACATTACACAATTCTCTACTTTACTCACGCACAAAACTTATTGCCTGTATTGATGTAGCCTCGATTGGCACGAGAGACTTCACATTCAACGCATCCCCCGACTAATTTCACTTTCCTTCGATCTCCGCTGCCATCAACGCTGCGTCAATGTCAAAATGTCACGATATACTCATGTAATACGTCTTACTCGTATTTTTCCGATACAGTTCTATGGTAGATAACGGATCGGTAATGGTCTCAAGTCGCAGTTGGACGATTATTTTCCTCGCACACGCAGAAAATCGTGAATTACGAGACACTATATATGTACGGACACTATGTTTGTTCGTATTGCTTGAACTTTTTGCACTCAGCATCTTTGCTTTCACTCTCTTCAATATCCGAATATTTATTTATCTCGTTTTCAGTGCAAAAATTTTTGGGAATTTCAAGCAACGCGAACGAACCCTACTACGGACACATCCACCGGTATGAGACGATAGGCTCCGAATGACTCTTCGGCTAGTTCTGTTTTTTCTCGGTTATTATCATAGATACTAACATAATACTACGCGTCCTATTTTTTTAGTCGCGATTTGTACTAAAATTGTACGCAATATTTCGAGAGTCTGCTTATCTCTCTCTTTCTTTAACTCAGATAAAGCTATAAATTTTTTTTTATAAAAAATCGAAAGAAAACATGGAAATCCATCTCTATGTTTATTGACCCTTTCCTCATATAACCCCTGTATTCTTACATTCGAGAGAGAAAGCTAGATTTTCGAAAGCTCCTTTTCTCTTTCTAATTTTGACGCACGCGAACGTTCGTTGTTATCATTCAGAAGATATATACGCCAAAGCGAATGCGAACAGAATGTTTGATTCGCATTCGGCTCAATTCCCTCATGAGGCGGTATATCAAAGACAATTCGTGCGAGAGACGTTCAAGACGTTTCACAAGATGTTCGCATTCGCGGTTCGTTTGGCGTTTGTTCGTAGATGTATACCCACCTTTATATGTCTATGGTTACTATGGTCACTTATTATATGTCTATGATTACTACACTTGGTCTCGCGTCATCCCGCGCATTTAAAATATGTCGCGGAAATCATCTCACTCATAGAAATCATTTCAATTCATAATCGTCTGATATTTGATCTTACGCGACATTGTATGTGAAGAAGTATTCGTCGTTGCAAAGGTTTGCGTGTCAAATGCCTGGAATGTAAACAAGGTCGTTAAGGATCGCCGGCGTTCAACAATAACAAAGACTTGACTATTGCTTCTTATCGTCTCCACATTTTGCAGCGAGAATATTCAGGTATGTGTATTATATTAGATTAATCATCGGTAACTTAAAAAGGCATTGTCTACATCTATTTACTCTATAGACTTCTATATATTATATCTATATTATGATTTATATTATATTATTATATTATATTATATTATATTATATTATATTATATTATACTATAATATACTTTTATATATTATATGATATAATATATAAAAGAGAGAGAGAGAGAGAGGGCGAGAGAAAGAGAGTTTAATTTACTCTGTGTTATATTTTAAGTAGCCGTTTTCCAATATAAAGGAAAGAGAGAGAGAGAGAGAGAGAGAGAGAGAGAGAGAAGTGATATAACAAACAAAATAATAAAATTTAATTATATGATAGAAACAAAACAACGGAGTTATGTGTTGCGATTGAAGTATCGTTGACAATTTCCACAATTCGAGGATGCTTGATAAGAAGCGGCGAATATTTGGAATTCATCAAGCGCGGTATTTTCATTCTCGGAACGCTTGGAATCGATCAATGACTTTTAAAGGACAGCTTCACATCGTTCATTTAAATTTGTTACTGCTTGTTACTACCTTTTACTAATTCTATGCGCGCGATTAAACTTACAACTTCGGGATTATATACGCTTTGTAATAACAAACTCATCGCTGTTTTCAAGCAGTTTTACTGACATTCTTTTCGTTTGTTATTTTCGAAAGGACATTCTTCATAATTTTGACGTATTCACGGATATATAATTTCCCTCATCAATCTGATCAACAAGTATATCGCGGATATAAATCGCGCGATTCTCATCGATTATAATTTCCTACTTAACAAGGGGCGGAGGCGAGGAAAGGGGGCGGGGAGAAGAAAGTAATCAGGTACTTGTCGACAGGTGCTTCGAAGGATGCGTAGAATTTCCAACCTGTTGAAGAGTCCTGGATATCCGTTTCCTACGAGTGCCCCGCCGAGTCGATGATATTCGGATTTCAATCCGATCGACGGTGGAGTCTGAGGGAAAATTTTCCCGTTGAGTGGCGGCACGCAGAGATTGAATTTTCGGTTTTCTCAAACCGCCGCAAATTTTCCATTTCCTCCGGAGCCTCGCGCGCCCTCGCGAATTTTCCTCCTCGATTTGCGCGATCGCCTGAGTGACCTCTCATTTCCCTCCCCCCCTCCCCCCTCTCCGGCCTGTCGTCCCCCTCGGTCCGTCGCGGTGCATTTAAATCGACTGCTTAAGTTGACTATGCACTAATCTCGTAATTCATTTACATATTTAAGACGCGCGTCGGCAAAGTTCGCTGTCCGTGGAAGGGAGGAGGAGGAGAAGAAGATGGAGGAGGACACGAAAGGAAGGCGCGACGAATGGAATAATAAGTTATGCATGTGTCTCTTATCTGACGAGAGACGTGAATAGATACCTGAACTTCTTTAATTTAATAACGCACGCGGGGCGGAACGAAAATCGGATATCGTGTCGAAAACAAACAAGTACGACGGAGAGACAAAGATATCTCTCGTTTTATATCTCACGGCTAGGATAAAACGTAGGGAATATTTAGTCAATTCCTCGAGAAATGATCGGAACTCAATCTACACGAACAGAGTCACGCGCGTATAGTCGGTTCTCTCGTTAGTTCGCATGCAACTTTGATAACTCGCAGTCTCGCCAAGAAGTTGACTCGGTCGTTACCTGACTGAACGATATCGATTATCGTCGGACCTTCTTGTTCCTCGACAATGAAATACATCTTTCGCCAGGAGGCGGATAGGAGGGGTGGGGTGGGGAGGGAGGGAGGGTTCGCTTTCTCGCGAGTAGAAGGGTCGGGACGTTTTGTTCAATGTAGGGCACGATGGAAATACAAAATCGGGTTTCCGGCGAGCTTCTCGAATGGGCGAGTCATATAGGTACATATATCTCATATTGGACAGCGTCAGGAAATTAAGCGAGGCGGTCTCAAGGGCGACGTTCGGACCTCAAACTTCGGCCGGGGAACTTTTCTCGGCATTGTGCCTGGATTTATCTCTTCCCGAAGTGTCGAACTGCTTTCGGGGGAGAAGAGCCGCGGAAACCGAGAAATATATTATTGCCGGCCGTGACTGGTATACAAACGTTGTTTGCCCGTCAAACGAAGAGACATAGGTAAGGAGAAGCGGGAAGAGAAAGGGGGGGAGGAGACTAGACTTATAAATGATCGATGACAATAATTGGACTATCGTATAATTGATTAAATAACGCAAATATCATAATACCCTTTTAAACGGATCCGTTTATTATATTCACGATAACATTTTGAAACAAATAAAATTTCTCTCCTTATAGCTTCCAATGTTCCGTTGAAAGAACTAAATAAAGTTGTAAAAACAATTGCGAAAAACTAATGGATTTATTTAATCCGCGCGGTGTAGAAAAATAGGGAAGATAGAAAGGAGATAAGAAAATTTAAATTATTCATGCTTTTATATTGTGCTTCTCTAATTCATCCTCGTACTTGTGAGAGAATTCACCAGTAGGATCGTACTTCTTCTTAAGTTGCTCCCATGTTTCTGGTTTCTGAAATAAAACATAAGGTCAAATGAGCAATCGTCCTTTCATAATAAAAAATGTACAAGATTGTCTTCATCGATAAAATGAAATGTGTTGTCGACAATTGTATCGGTGTAAAGTCATATAAACATTTTTATTCTAAAAATTCTTTTATTTTTTTCGTTTTAAACGCTTCTCATATCAAGAGACATACTAAATTATATCGCTGCTACATGAACATTATTTTGAAATTCGTATTACTTAGACAAGTTATAAAAATACAATAGTAAAAATTCAATAAAACCATCTAATTTCAAAAACAAAATCTTATATATCTTTGAAAGACAAATCTTTATACATATAGCCTTTGAGCGCGCTTAAAGCTCCGTATTCGTACCAACCGTAAAAATATGTTTAATGTTTCAAGAACCGCGGAAAATACGGTGGACGTAACACGAACCGGATTGAAACCCTTCTAAGGGAAACGACTGGCCGACCGGGGGTGAAATCGGTTTTCGAAGGAGGTTTACGGAGGCGGATTCGCATCGCCGGTAAATTATTTGGCTACGGATGCGAGAGTTTTCCGGGCGCAACGAATCACTGGGACACCCCTCGTCGCACCACCCCGGCAATCCGAAGAGCATTAACCCGTCTCTACATGAAAGTCAAACTAGTTTCGCAACATTTAAACCGGCTCGACGTATCCCTTCCCAAAGAGAACGTTCTCTCATCCACCACCCTCTGGCGTCAACTCATTACGCGCGACCCTGCGTTTCATTAGCCCGGTGAAAAGTGACGGGCGGTGACGTATATATACGAATGCGAGAGCGTGTACCTTGTTAACTAGAAACCGGATGACCTTCTCGGAACCATTCCTTTGCTTCTCGCTGCACTTGTGACACCCGGTCTCCAACGCGTCCGGAAGGTGCTCTGAAAGAATCGCAACAGGAATTCAGATCAGGGACATATTCAGATCTGTGACGAAATACAACGATTTCGTCTTGAGACGAAGGCAAGAACGCAATCGATTAACATTACGGAATGTCGATTTAAATATTCTTTAAAATAATTGGACCTGGATTTTCTTATTTTTTACCCCGATTCTAAATTTATATTTTTTCTCGTTAGATACTTTGACACATAAGCTCTCCAATGTGTGCGCGCAGATCGTTTTCACTGGGAGACGAAGTTCTGCGATGTAGAGCGGAGTTCATAATAATGTATGTTATTTCTCGAATATTCGATGTCGTGCAGAATTCGCCCCAACGTTTTTGCCGTCCCGCGTCATTTGCGCCAGCTGCTATGGTCAGCTGGTCGCACACCCGCGCATATCGCTCGTGAATTTTCGTGAGAGACAAGGACTATATATCTTCGGTAACGTATTACCGTCCATCGCGCGTTTTATCTCGTTCTATGGGATAACCATGCTGTGAAAAAAAGAAACTCGAGAAGAATAAGAAGACGATAAACGTGATTTTCTGATAAATGGCGAGAAAATAAATCAAGTTATTAGTAATTAATATAATTTACAGAAATGCGCCGATAAAAATCGATTGATTTCTAGTTCTCATTTGCATGAGATTCTGTGTAGATGAATTTTATATACAGAATGTTTCAAAGTATATTTTTAATAGCAAATTCTCTGATCATTTTGGAGACGAATTTTCTTTAAGGAAAGTGTTAAGGTTAATAAATTCCGAGTTATAAGCGATTAAAAAAAAGAAGGGCTTTCCGCAAACTAAACTTTGTATAGAGAGTTGAAAGGTTAACAAAATTACATCCTTTAATTAATTTCAAGTCAACTTCAGATTTACTTTACTTTAATAGAAAATTTTAACTTTAGATTTAGTTACAAAGATATATGATGTGTAAAATGATTGGAAACTTGCAAACAATGATGTTTCTTCCTCGACAATTTTGTCAAGGAAGATCTATTCCAAATTCGTTAGAGAATCTGCTATCAAAAGAACATTCGATAGTTTTTGTACAGGACACTTTGACGCGTAGAAAACGCGTTACGTACGACTGTGGGAGCAGAGTTTTCATGCGAAAAAATTGACAGTAGTTTGCGCCGCTAACCGCAAACATATGTATGCGCAAATATCTCCCCGACGACGTGTACTTTTTTTGCCGAAATCTTCTCGGCGACAATCGGCGACTGGGGTGTATTATTCATATCTCTAAAGGGAGCGCGATATGCGCGCGCTTCTCGTACATATGTACCGTCGTTAACGAAACGACCTCGCATCGCGCATCCTTCGACGGGGATGAGACGGGGTGGCCATTATATATCATATATATCATATCATTAGTGTGCCAAGGCTGATTCTCGCGCGCGTTGGAAAGCGTGTGAGAGATCGTCTCATTACCGTTTCATTTCATCGTACGTGTTTTGTCGCATTATCGCGCCGCACAGACGAGATGCGCAGGCATCAAGTGCTGTGTTCCTCCAGAGTTCGCTTTACGTTTACGTTATTATTATGTTTTCATATTGTGTAGGTCGCGCATTACAAGAATTGCGTGTTATATCATAAAAGATAACGATATAATTTTGAGATTAACGTTTCGATAGCAAGGGTAACGATTAATGAAATATCTCACCTTTGAGTTCCTTGCCATCGGGCGTGCAGCTTCCCTTTTCCAGCAGACAGTTTACGTAGTTCTTGAGCAGACGCTCGCTCCTCAGGATCGAGTCTAAGTCGACATTGTCGAATTTGGTCGTGTATTTGTCCTCCGCTAGGGCGCAAGCTACCGCGATGAGGAATAGAGCCAGAACCTGGATCAAATATTAGAAGGATTTCTCGCGATATATGATAGAAACTATCCCGAAATCTCGATGCTGTTTACAGCATTCCGATATCGATATCTGTATGAAAGAGTGAGGTAGGTGTGCGAGGTTTGAACGAGGCGCGAAATCTTCGCTCATGAATTCCCGCGGGATTTCGCGAGATAAACGCGAGAGACTCGCGACGTCGGTTGACAATGAGCAAAATGTTGGGACAGATACGGCTTCGCTTTTCACGTTAAATGTCGAGCGTGGCCAAATGTTTGCGGCCGAAACGCGGCGAATCGTATACGGACGTATTTAACGCAACGACGTGAATACCAACGAGCGCACGTATATTATATCGTATGTGCGTGATATATATATATATATATCTTTTTCTCTCTCTCGCGTGATGGTATTTCTATAGAAATTCCTCTATAGGCCCCTAGTGAAAATACAGGCCCCTACAGGCTTGCAGAAAATAGAAGCGAGCGTCGCACGTCTCATTAGTAGGTAAAGACGAGAGTGAAGGACCAGTGGGACGTACAGAGCTCTTCGTTTAGAAATCAATTCAATTACGCAGAGTGTGTCAAACGCTTTCTCAAGCGCGACTGCACGAAGCGTTAACAGACACTTCTATGCGTGCGGAACATCAAAGTCACGTTTCTCTCGTATATCGTGTTCTCTCTCTTGTGCGCGATATAACGTATATAAAATACATCGAGATAGTCTGTTTTTCGAGAATGAAAATTTTTGGAATAAATCAATTTTTTTTAAGACACAGCTCGTTAAAATAATTAGTTTGTGCATCGGTATTTTATTTAAATTATCACATTTGTAGATATCACGTTGAAGAATTATTATTATTATTTAGACGAACGATTCAGGGAGAGAGAAATGTAAATGTATTACACATAGAAGAAACTGGAACAATCAATGTCATATTGTGCGAAAGAAGAAAGAAGATATTCTCGCATATAGGACACTTGTCTCTTTTTAGCTCCATCATAAAATGGCATTGATTGTTCTAGTTTTAAGATATCTCATATCAATTACGCGTTTCGCGCAAGAAATCTGAGAAATTAAATAGACCTTGAATTACATCAACTATCCAATTCAGTCCGGTACAGAAGGAGAAAAAAACAAGTTCTCAGTTCGTAAATTAAGATGGATTTATAATCTTTAAACGTTATGCATCTATTTTCAATTTGTATTTTAATCGCTGATTTAAATTAAGAATTTAAATTATTTAGATTTATATTTAAATAAAATAAAAAGAAAAAACAAAAGAATACAAAAAAAATTTATGTTTTCGTGTGTGATTCCACAAAGATATGATATAGAAAGAGAAAGAGAGATGGAGAGATGAGGATCTCAAGTAATTTTAATAAATATTTTGCGAGAAATGTGTAATTTTTTTGTTTTGGATTTTGATTTTTTTTTCAAAATTAATGATTCGATTCGACGAAAATGCAAACCATGACAGCTTCGACGAGTTGGTTCAAACTCGAAGCGAGGGAATTTCTCACCCTCTCGAAGACCGCGAGCAGATGGTTACGCTAGTACATAACGGGTTAATGCCAGAGAGTTAGTTAGGACGTTAATTAGTATAGAATAGACCTGTTGTAGAGAAGTACGTGATACCCACTATACTTTGGTGAAGAGCAAAGCGCGCAAAGGGTAGCGACCGAAATGATGTTATCCTGTAGACTCGCCCAGAGACATTCGGCTCTTCCAGAGTGATAAGATTGCCGTGACGTTTAATATATGAAGCTACGTCTATATATGAGATATGTAATTGCATCGCGTGTCAGTAAGAGTCTTTTTAACAAACCGGGAAAAAATCAAAATTACACTATAATAGATTTGATCGTGAAATTCAGTTGAGAAATATAATATTTAATTCAGTTGATTTATAAATTTCTATTTAAAAACACATTACGAACGACTAATACCAGTGACAATCGATCGTTTAGCAAAAATCTCGCCAAATAGAAACCGAAATGTTTTATCGATCAAGATGGAATCTAGACGCGCGTTCCAGATGATGTGAGAAGGAAAATGATTTACACACGGCTTACGCACGCTTTCGTGTGTAAGCCTCATTACGTAATCGCCGCCATTACCACGAACAACGTTTCCTGACGCCTTTCACTCTCGTGAAGAAATTTCACCTCGTTTCGAGTCGTTCGCGATTCAAGACGCCGACGACGGAGTCGCAAAAACGTACACGCGCGGCGGATTAACAGCGAATTTTTGCGACGATGTACAAAGGAGACAGACGTTTTGAATCACCGTAGGAGACTCTTAAACGGTCTCCGAGGTCGTTAACGACGTGAAACAGCCTCGACGCAGGCCGAAGAGCTCACGCTGCATTATTCACTTTTGGATCTCTCGAGACCGGATTTTCGCCGAATATAACGTGGCAATTAACGTCTATGCGATCCCCCACGTGGTACGGAAAAAGTAAAATAATAAAAGAAAAAAAAATTCAGAAATCAAAAATTATATGACAAGAAAGAAGATTTTAAATTTTAAATATCTGCAATCGGAAAATATATGAAGAACAGCTAGAAGAAACGTTATCAAATAACATTATCGAATCGAAACCATCTGAAATTTCCATTATACAATATTCGCAACATGTTGTTTTCAAACGCGTTAATTATAAGGAGGAAAATCAGCGCTCCATTTGCGTTATATATTTTCATTTACGTAAAACGTTATAAAAAACTTGTGTAAAACAAACGTAATAAAAAATTACACTCCCAATTAATGTTATATAAGGACAATAATCTTGCAAAAATTCAAAAAATGGACAGACGCGGGATAACCGAACGAATGTAGAAAAAACACAGAAGACGAGAGAGAGAAAGAGAGACGCCATTATAATAAAAGGGAGGATTACCAAATGTAAAACGAGAACAGGTACAAAATAAAGAAGAAAGGGCGGAGGGGAAGCCAAGGTGACCAAAGGAGAGAGAATTACACTTACCTTCATGTTCGAGCGAAGTTAGACTACTGATGCTGACAGCGGCGCCGATCAGCTGCTTTATACCCGGGCCCCTCGCATGACTGGACCCCGAATTCGTCGAATCAGCCTTACTCGCGGATCTCTTCGGGGACCCCTTCCTTCCTCCTTCCTCCTCCCCCCTCTCCCTTTCGTCTCTTTACGTCCTCGCGAAGTCGCGAAGGAGGATGGGAGGTGCGAAACGATGTGCGTCACAGGTGAGCAAACCTCGGATGTTCGCCTTGCATCTGCGCGAATCACTCTATGTCGTGTAAATATTGCCGGATATACACAAGGGGTTTCTGAATCGATTTAAAAACTCTTCTCGGCTCCCGCGAATGCTCCAACTTTAATTCTGTTTGCATTTCGTCGCAGAAGTTTTCGACTTTTTAACTAGAAAAACGGAGAAAAATTATTCTCTCTTCTCTCCCCTTCTCCCTCTCCGCTTATAACGGTGATTTTGTTCCCGAGAAATTCTTGTCGAGGGGCACTCGTTCCTCAAGATATTTACTAGAAAAAGAAAAATTACGAAATTATGGATTAACGCGTTACAAGAATTTTGCGTGCGATATTAGAGAGAGAGAGAGAGAGAGAGAGAGAGAGAGAGCGTCAGCGCTTTTGCACGAGTGCGCGTTCATTAGCGGGATTCAGCGGCAATTGCAAAAGTAATATTTGACCAACGTTGAGTTAACCGATTTGTACCTCTTTAAAGTAGCGCGGCACGCCGCGGACGAATTACATATTGCTTTTCCGGTAATGGCAACGAAAACAGTGCGATACACATGCGAGAAAAATTGGAGTTCCGAGTCGGGATTTAGCGCGAGCGTTGCGCAAGCCTCTGCATAAGGAGTGTCACATCTTGCGGGCTAAACGATGATGCATTCTCTAAAGGATGCGCCTTATTTACCGAACTAATTCGCGATAGGATGCTAGTTGTGTAATATTTCATCTCCGAAATCATCCAATGAAAATTATACGTATGACAAAATAACGCGACTTGAATAATAATAATAAAATATATATGTTTAATATATATATAAATTTATAAAATATATTCCTAAACGAATTTTTCATTTGCAAACTGCTGATTCATTGAAACTCACATTAAATTTTTTCGCGTACATCGATTTTATAACTCGTTCAAAACTTGTATAATAATGGAGAGATGCGTATATAAAATTATCTATTACTCCTGCTTTGTAAAGAGCAGCTTTGATTGAACGTCCTAATTAACAACGAATAAAGGTCACGCGTTGATTAAAAATACTTTGCAACTATTACATATATAATTTATCTTTTTACAGCGCCTTCAGAGAATGCGCGTGGCCTGTTTGTCGTTTAGGATTTTATAGCTCGTAATAAATTTATCCGACCGTGGATATAATAGGACATGGAATATTGTATTATTATATCGAGAGGTCGGGCGGGCGTGTGCACCTGTTACGGACATCTCCCGCGTAATCCATATTTTACAAACGCAATATCGATAGCCGCCAGCGAGAAATATTTCCTTTGTTCTGCCTAGAATTAACATCATTAATAAATTGCAGCATCGAGAATGACTAGCAGCTCGGACTCGCAGAGCGTTATTTGCGAAGAACAATCGTGGAGATGAGTGCCATCCGAATATGCGCAAAAAGAGTACCGTATATAAAATTCGCAATACCATCAGCGAGAGGCGCAATTACGATGCATACGACTGCCAAAAATTTCTCTCGCGCGAGCTTTAATCCTTTTGTTATTTTAAAACAAAAACAGTTCTCTGTAACAGATCTGAAAAATGTAAATACGTAATATACACGACATATATTTTGTAATTTTTGTTTATCTACGCTATAGAAAATAAACTGTCGATACAACGATAACGCAAGCAAATTATTAACAGTCCGCATTTCCTGGCAATCTGGACGTCTAATTAACCTAATTGTTTATTATTAATTCATTTGATAGTGTTATTCAAATTAATACATTCCGAACATGGACGAAACCTGAAAATCAATTGCATACGCAAAGATGAGATATACGTAACTAAATATAACAAAATATAACGAAAGTTTATATTCAGAGAGAGAAAAGAGAGAGAGAGAGATCAAAATCAGTATATCAAAGATATTATTTGCATATTGCTATTTTTTTAATCTTACGCAATCAAAAATATGCAAAATAAAATTTTAAATAGAGCCACTCCTTCCGATATTACATTGACGTCATGTAATTTGCAAGTTATTGCAGATTTATAGTACACTTCTTATATCTCACTTCGTATCTTTCATTATTGAAAAAAAAAACGGATACACATAAACTTCATATCATTTGCAATTGATGTGTTAATAATAATTTGCCTAGAAATATATAAAATTTTCCGTTCCGTAAAGATTAAAATTACTCATGTTTTTTTTACACTTGTCATTCAGCGCAAAAGATGATTCAGAGGAAATGAAGAATGGCCGTTTTTTTTTTCATCTGGCGCATTAAAATTTATGTTAATTTTTTCGACAAAAAGCAGACTTTTATCTTTTTTGATATGATAATATTAAACAGGGTCTACACAAGACGAAATCTTTCATTATGCGACACGTTAGCTGATTTAAGGTTACATTTTGCAATTTCTTTTTAGCCTTAATAGTATGATGTATGATTATCTGTTTGACAAGATGAATAAAAATGATCCCGCTATCTATTTCATCGCGAGAAGCAACGGCGCGTGAAAATAAGCTTCAACCACTTTAAGAAACGAATGCGTATGTTTACGCATTCTTTTTAGTCACGAGTTATTTACTGGCCGTGCGTATGTATTTAGCATAAATTATCGCCAAAGACATCAATTCTCAATAAAACCTATTGCGAAATGACAATTACAAAACGCTAGAGAGACGTGAGTTTCTGAAATATTAAAAATGAGAAAGTAAGTAGAAAGAGATGGATATAGTCATCAATTTGTTAACTATCTGTACAATACAACCGAAGTAAAATCGACACGGTAAAGATCGAACAAATAAAATAAGATCAACATGATATAGAGACAGACGATAAAGTTGCAGTCGGTACTTTTCCGAATATCTTCTCTCTCGAAATTATAAAAAGCAATGACAGCGGGATTGATGTGACGGAGAGAGATATCAAAAAGTTACGGAAAATAAATACATATGAAAATCTAGAATTAAAACTTTGGCGAGAGATAACGGAGAGTATAATTGGAATATAAAACTTTGATATGGCAAAAAGTTGCGATAAGTGTATACTGCCGCAGGAAAGCGCGTCCTTTGAGAAACTTGAGAAAAGTCGGAATAGAGAAATTTCGCGTCCTATTCTCACGCGACTCGAAATCACCTGGCGCCCCCGCTCCCTCCTCTTTCCCCTCCCCGCTCTCCTGTACTTTAACGGCCGGCTTTTAGACACTTTTAGCACAAAACCAAGGGCTTTGAATTCGCGCGTGGAATATTCTATGCGAAATCCAGACGTAACCTGAGAGCCCTGCCCTCGTCCGTGTGTGTGCGTGTGTGGGTATGTTGTCCTCGTTCGCTTTGAATTTATTATAACTTCGCGTACAAGGATATCTGTCCAAACTCCCCCTTTTACGGCGCGCGCGCGCCTTAGGTCATTCCTGCAGAAATTCAATTCGTTATAACGCCCCTCCGCGCATTATTTTATTATGTTCAAATTCATTCTCTCCGCGAAAGAATCACGCGGGGGATGCGCAAACTTGCCTTCCTTTCGAAGTCGACATGTTTCTAGTTTCGCACACCCTCTCTCTTTACCTCTCGATTATATGTACCAAGAAAAAAAATACTCATCGTTTGTTTTGATAATCGAGGCTTCGATAACTCTCTTGAATTATAAGCGGGGGGAATATCATATTATATTATATATTATATAATCTTCTAAGATTGTTATTAAGATTAATTCGAAATCCGATTGTAGCTCTTCAAATATCTAATTCTGAAGAAACAAAAATTTCTCGTATGTATCCTTGCTATGTCATTTGTAAAATTGGACCATATGTTTGCGACACTATAAAGTCTTTTCTCTCTTTCTATCCTTTAATTTTGACTCGATGTGAATCCATGAGTCACACAGAAAACCGATCATTGTGCGTATAGTATATAAGCTCGAAGGAGCCCTAACGTGCAAAACGTGTAAATACGTATCTATGCATACGTGATGCGTCACTATGTCGCGGTGACAAAGGTTGTTTCAGGATACCTAATATTTGACACGCCAAATGTATAGTGCAAATTGACGTACCTTGCGTGGGCATACGGGTCGACCTAAAATTATGGTCAATAATCCTCTACCTTGACCCACTTTAGGGTCGGCCTTTCCAAAATGGCGAAGCATCAAGAGCTTTCACGAATTTTGTAATACGGATAAGAGACATAGCGGAGAATAATTTCGTATTTCATTTAACTTGTACCTCGCATGCGCGTATTACTCATTTTTATGATGGTAGAAGATATACATAGAGGAGCAAAAAGAGGGACCGCGCGCATTCGTAACATTTCTATACCGCTCACGTCAGTTTTCTACGGGTCCTTTTATCTCTCGCGCATATAAATACGAACTCTGACGTCGAGCGTGTATTACCATATAAACACGTATGATGAATCGCGAAAAAAAAAACTAAACGTCCAGTTATGCCATGTCAAATTCAGCAAAACGGCAATTTTTAACCGTTCGAGCAATAAACGCATCAGATAATAATAAATAAAATATACAAAAGTCAAATGGAAAAAAACCTGCGATTTGGAGAAGAAACGAAAATATTTAAAGCGTAAAAAATATATTTAAAAAGAGAATGGCAAATATACATACATAGTTGAAGGAATGGAAATGTGCAAAAATTAAAATTTCATTTTACATCGGGAGAAGAGAATTGGAGAGTACGATGCGTGCGTATTAGGCCAAAAAAATGCTTTCACGTTCGATTTCCAATCATGGAATGCGAAAAAAATATTCGAGAGGTTTCGATAAATATTTGATCTACTATATCGCGAAATGGATTGCGGATCAATTTTCCGCGTAAGCGGATGATGATTGTCGACGATTGTCCATATGTAGACGCATAAGGGAATTGCATTCTCGTTACGTATGCACGGCGTACAGCCGAGTGTTCGGCCCGAGCGCTGTCATTATCGTCAC